AGGTGCTGCAGCGGCTGGAGCAGAGGCGGCAGCAGGCTTCAGAGCGGGAGGCTCCAGGCATAGAACAGCGGCTGCAGGAAGTGAGGGAGAGCATCCGGAGGGCACAGGTGAGGCACAGCCCAAGGGTTAGGGCCACTGAGATCCCACCTCCTTAGGCAATGCCAACCCCCCCCATTCCTTTCCAGTCTATTTTTGTACATGTGAGCAAAGACTGATAGACACTTGAATGCTTACTATATGCACGGGAGCAGGTCGCCAGATTTCTCCAGCAGAGTGGATGGTGGGTTAGGATCACTGACCTTTCAGTTAGCCCCTGAGCGCTTAACCATTAGGCAACCAGGGCTCTTCCCACCCCCCTCCACCTCCATTCTTTATCTGATGGCAGGGAGGTGGGAGGTAAAGGATAGGTATAGCTGGTGAGGTTCCACTCACCTCCCAGAGGCAGGCCCAATCAGACCGTGGCCTTGACTGACTCCTATTCCCCATGCCAGGTGAGCCAGGTGAAGGGGGCTGCCCGGCTGGCTCTGCTGCAGGGGGCTGGCCTGGACGTGCAGTGCTGGCTGAAGCCAGCCATGACCCAGGCCCAGGACGAAGTGGAGCAGGAGCGACGGCTCAGTGAGGCCCGGCTCTCCCAGAGGGACCTCTCCCCCACAGTGAGTTCCCACTTCTCCCTACCCATAAACACACAGGAGGGTAAAACTCCCCAGTGGGAGGCAGACCCTATAACATGGGGTCACAATAGTACCTAACTCAGAGGGTTCTTGTAGTCTTAAATGAAACCAGTCAAATACAATGCTTTGCACAGTTTCTGGTATAGCGAGTCCTAATAAACTTTTATTATAAGTACAGCATGGTGGTTAAGAACTAAGGTTCTGGAGGCAGACTATAAGTGGTTTAAACACTAGCTGTTCCACTTACTAGCTGTGTGATCTTGGAAAGTGACTTAACCTTTCTGAGCCTCAGTTTCCTCAAAAGTAAAATAAGGTTAATAGTTGTGCAAAATAACACTGGGTTGTTAGGAAGATAATTGAGACAACATACACAAGATACTTTACATTGAGCCTGGCACGTGATGCGCACTCAACTACTGTAACTGTTAATATTTTTAGTATTGGGCTTCTCTATGGTGATATTCCTTGTAATACATAGTGAACAGATGGGCGGCGCTACTTTGGAGGAACATCCAATGTCCTTTAGGGGTAGGGTGGAGGAGTAAGAGATACAGCTAACACTTGAGAGTGAAACGTAGGATTATGTCTGTTCTCTGCCCTCCTCCAGGCTGAAGATGCTGAGCTCTCTGACTTTGAGGAATGTGAGGAGGCAGGGGAGCTCTTTGAGGAGCCTGCCCCCACCGCCCTGACCACCAGACCCCTCCCTTGCTCCGCACATGTGGTGTTTGGCTATCAGGTGTGAATAGGAATGGGGACCTCAGAGGGTAGGGGTGGGAGACAGCCAACCCCTGACTCTTTCCTTGTGGGGCCCAGGCTGGGCGTGAGGATGAGTTGACCATCAAGGAAGGCGAGTGGCTGGAGATCATAGAGGAGGGAGATGCTGACGAATGGGTCAAGGTGGGTATGGGGCCCAGGGCTCTGAGCCTGGGGCGGGGGCAGTGGAAGGAACTTCTCTGTGGTCCCCAAGGACCCAGCCAGGCCTGGGCCCAGCTAAAAGCCTGAGTAGAGGCGGGCCAAGGCCATGGACTGCTGAGGCAAGTCTGATATCTGTCCACATTGTTGAGTGAGCAGGCTCGGAACCAGCATGGTGAGGTAGGCTTCGTCCCTGAGCGGTACCTCAACTTCCCGGACCTCTCCCTCCCTGAGAGGGGCCATGACAGCAACAACCCCTCGGGAGCAGAGCCCACAGGTAAAAAATGGAAATTCTGTGTCAGGGGATCCTGGGTATGGAGAAGAGTTCCTGGGTGGTCATGGTTCTGGGGTGTCATGGTCCTGGGGTACCACCACCCACCTCTTCCCTTCATCATCTCTCCTGGGCTTCTGCAGCCTTCCTGGCCCGTGCCCTGTACAGCTACACAGGACAGAGTGCAGAGGAGCTGAGCTTCCCTGAGGGGGCGCTCATTCGTTTGCTGCCCCGGGCCCAGGATGGAGTAGATGATGGCTTCTGGCGGGGAGAATTTGGGGGCCATGTTGGGGTCTTCCCCTCCCTGCTGGTGGAGGAGCTGCTTGGCCCCCTAGGACCCCCTGAGCCCTCAGACCCTGAACAGGTAAGGCTTCCTTCTCCCCTGGGTCTCCAGGCACCTCTGGGTTGACCCACCCACCGCAGTAGGCCCATATTCATCTTAATATTGCCTCCCCAAGTTTACCTCCTATGTAGCTTGGGCCTCCTCATCTCCTTTTGCTAGGCACAGAAAAGGGAAACCAAGGCAGTCTGGCATAGCAGTTCAGAGCTCTAGCTTTAGTGCTGCAGAAATCTGAGTTCAAATCCTTACTGTGTGACCTTGGCCAGTAATTTAACCTCTCTGATCTTGTTGCTTCACATATGAAATGGGGATGGTAATACCTGATTCAGCAGGCTCATTATTGTGATTGGAGCTAGTGGAAGTAAAGCTCTTAGTGCAGTGGCACAAAGGAGGTGCTTTAATATACGGTACCTATTGTTAGAATAAAGGAGCCCTGGTGGCACAGTGGTTAAAGCGATTGACTGCTAACCGAAAGGTCAGTGGTTTGAAACCACCAGTGGTCTGGGGGGAGAAAGATGTGGCAGTCTGCTTCTGCAGAGATTTACAGCCTTGGAAATCCTATCTAGTTGCTATGAGTCAGAATTGACTTGATGGCAGTGGGTTTCGTTTTGGAATTGTTATAATAATAAAGGAGCCCTGGTGGTGCAGTGGTTAAGTGCGCTGCTGCTAACTTAAAGGTTGTCGGTCTGAACCCACCAACTGCTCTGCGGGAGAAAGATGTGGCAGTCTGCTTCCGTGTAAGATTACAGCCTTGGAAACCCCATGAGGCAGTTCTACTGTGTCCTGTAGGGTTGCTGTGCGTTGGAATTGACTCGACAGCAGTGGTTTATTGTTATAATACAGCAAGAAGAGTATAGGTGTGGGAGTCAGGAGACCCAGGTTGTAGCCAGGAATCTGCTAACTGGCCCTGTGATCTTAGATGACTTAACCTCTCTGTGTCTCATCTCTAAAATAGAAATAAAATGCCCGCCTCATAAGGTGGCAATAAGGATTGAGTGAATTAATGTATGTGGAATGCTCAATACGTATCAATTACTGAAATATGTATTAGCTATGACCCCCACCCAGATACAAGCATTTGGCCACTCCCTGTATTGAGGAGTGATGGGACAGGAATTGAAAGTAGGATGAGAGAGAAAGCTGGCGAAACCTTCTGACATCCCAGGAATAACTCTGTGCCCACTCTACCCCCAGACGCTGCCATCCCCTTCTCCTCCAAGCTTCTCCCCTCCTGTGCCCACCTCTGCCTTGGATGGGCCCCCTGTACCCATCATGCCTGGGGGTGAGTTAAGGGAATGGGGGGCCCTGGGAGGGTGAGAAACGGGAAGGAGGAAGCTTGGGACTCTTTCCTCCTAGGTCAAGCTCTGCTCCTCTGCCTGTCCTCAGGCACCTCCACTTCAGGCCCACCACAGCAAGATGAAAGAGCTTGGGCTTTGAAGACAGGCCCACTGATTCAAAGCCTGTTCTGTCACTCCCTAGTGTGTGATTTGGGGTGGGATGTTTAACCTGTCTGGGCCTCAGTTTATTTGTTTTATAAAGTGAGGTGCCGACCTCATTGAGTTGTTGTGAGGGTTAAAAAAGATGTCTGTGAGTACACAGCATTGTGCCTGGCGCATGATAAGCACACAAGTAGCTGTTTTATCCCATTTAGCTCTTAGTGTTCTTGAATCCTGCAAACACCTTGGTTTGTGTCCTCACTTTCCCCCTTGGAATGCCCATCTTTTCTGAAACTTTCTGGTACTTCCCCCTTCTCCACAGAGTCTCCCCCAAGCATTTTTTTGCCCCACCTTCTCCAGCACCCCTAGTTCATGTGGAATGATTTAGTACTCAGTCATTTGTTGTGTTTGTTGATGTTTCATGTACTGGGTTCTTGGCAGCCCTTGAGGGTGGGGGTGCTGTATCCTGCCTCCTCATCTCTAGTACCTTGAGCGGGGCTGATTATACGGCAGGGTGCCATTGTTTGTTGAGGATGGATGGACTGATGATTTTATAGCAAAGGTTGGTGGCTATTCATTAATTCAACAAATATTTATAGAGTGCCACTGGCCTAAGTGCTGGAGATATAGCAGAGAACAAAACAAAGACTGAAGACTGACTTGAGTTTCTTATTTCCAGACCAACTCCCGGACTGCGCTGGGCCCCTGGACCTGATGGCACCTCGAATCAGGCCGGTAAGGGCCCTTGCCCTGGAGGAGACTATGTGGAGTGGGGTCATTCCAACTTGTCCTATTTTGTTCAGGGCTGAGAGAATGGACCGGTATTCCCAAGAAAGTACTTTGGAGCACTGACTGTGTGTTCCCCTACAGATGCGTCCACCACCTCCTCCGCCGGCTAAAGCCCCAGATCCTGGCCACCCAGAGCCCCTCGCCTGAGAGCCAGAGGGATCAATATCCCTCAGTGATGCTGCTGCCCCATCCCCATGCTGTCAGAGACTGCTCCCTCAGTGATCCTGTGCACCACAGCCAAAAGCTGCAATCTCTCCCATTTTCACTTTCCCCCATTTCTGGGGCTGGAACCCACTCCTTTTCCTCCATTCCCTTCTGCAAACTCTAGGGCTGGAACTACCCCTTTCTGTTCCACCACCACCCCATCTCTAGGGCTGGAATCCCTTCTGTCCCAATCCGGAAATCTCTGGGGCTGAAACCCACTCCTACTCCAAGTCTCGAATGGCTCCGCCCATCTCTGTGTCCACCCTGGCTCTGTGCCCCACCCTACTCTGGATGTCAGGGCCATAGGGGCTGGGGGCAGGGTCAGAGACAGGCCTTGGGAATCAAAAGGAGCTGGAGCCAGTATGCAAAAGCAGCTGTAATGGTCTGAGCGGATTTATTGACAGTGGTGAATAAAGGGCAGGAAGCCCAAGCCAAGGCCTGGGCCTCTTGCACCAAGAGGGCAGGGGGCCTAAGGTGCTATTGCTTTAAGGGCCCACCAAAGGCAGGGGCCTGCTCCCAGCTGCCACGCTCTAGCATATGGAGTGAGGTGTTGAGGAAGGCAGGTCAGGTGGCCTGTTGGCAGGCAATGGAATGGGAAGAGATTGAGGGGTATGTTATGGGGTATGTCTCCTGAGGTCCCCCAGCTTGAGACCGTGCAACTCCAGGTAGAAGTAAGGCTGGTCCCTCAGCTAGGGGCAGTTCTGCCCAGTGGGGAGGAGGGGCTTCATGCCCACCCGCCCCTGGCTTTGCCAGCTGGTAGTCCGTTCAGCAGCCGCGAAGAATGAGGCTTGGAAGAGAGGGAGGGTAACAATGTTGCCTCCTATTTAAGCTCTGTCCCAGCTTTTTCCTGGTAGCACAGTACCCCTTCACTTCCAGGTTCCAGAGTCTACCCCGTGGAGCACACGCCCACTCCCTACCACCAAACCAAGGAATTTGTAGCAAAGGCTAAAGCCTGCAGTTCACCCTGGGGGTTCAGGGAGCTGATGGGCTTGATTAGGCGGTGGGAAGACAAGCTTCCCTGCCTTGGGGCTCAGGCAGACTCACCTCACACATCCCCTGCTCCCCGTGGTGGGGACACCTGAGAGAAAGGGGAGGGGTCAACAGTGGAAAAATAGGAGTCCCCAGAGTAGGGGACAATAAGAGCTCAGCCTACTACGTCCCACTGCAGTCCTGGCCATATCTTCATACCTGGTGATCTGAGGTGTCCAGTTTGGTTGGCTGTACATTTGCATGTTGACTGTGCAGCCCCGGGCTTGGACCCCTGCCTCTGGCCCCCAGCACCTGCTCTACAGAGGCTCCAGGGTTCCCCTCAAGTACACAAGGGACTATGCTGCTGTCCCTGAGTCCTCCATTCTCCACTGGGGGGCTGGCTAGGACCTGGGGCTGTGGCCTGTCAGAGGGCAGCCTATCCATGGCAGCCCTGGGCTGCCCTCCTCCAGACCCCTGACTGCCCCCTGGGTCCTGCCCCCCACTAGAGCCCCAGCTCCTATCTGTGGGGGAGCCATCACGATGCTCATGCAGCCCATGGCGTTTCTCAATGTGTGTCACCCGAAACCTGGGAGGGGAGGGAACACTGGGGGTTAGGACCACAACTCAGAGGTTTCTCGCCTTCCCCTCCAATCAGGGACATCCTGGGTGTGATAGCCACTTCCCTCTGGCCTGGGCAGGGGAGGCCTCAGACTGTGGAGTATATTGTGCAGCCTGACTCCTGCTGCAGTGCCCAGTCCAGGAGGAAAGACCCAAAGCCCTTTGGGGGTCCTGCATGGAGTCCCACCAGGCCCACCTTTAGAGTTAGATGCCTGATCCCTGGAGCTCCCACCTGTACCTCCCTTTCCCTGGAGCACTCTGTCCCCACCTGCCCACTGAGAACACGGTGGTCTCCCCAGGCCGGGGGCGGCTCTTTCCTTCCTTGGAGCGGCCCTGACAAACAAGCGGGGGCCTCTTGCTGCGGCTGCAATGGATGCAAGGGGCTGCAGAGCCCAGATGCACTGTGTGATGGTGGGAGGGGGCTCCATCTTGCAGGCTGGAGGTGGCATCCACGCTGGACAGTAGGAAGGAGAGCAAGGGTGACATTCCCATCTCCCTTCCTGTTCTGTTTCCCCGTTCTTTTAGCATGCTCCTTAAACCCCCCGATACCCCACTTTCCCAAGACCCCAAAATTCTTCTCTTGTCTTTGTCTAATAAACTCAATATTAAGATGTCAGTGACCATGTGTTCTCCCTCCCAGGAGTGTTTACCAAAAAGAGAATAATGCTTAACCCAAAGGAGTGGCACTAAGGGTGAATGTTAGGCTTGATGATATCCAGATGGGAGAGATGGTTTGAAGGACTCCAGATTTCTGCAAAACTACTTTCTTCCTATAGGTGAGGCAGCCTTCCCATCCACCCCCCCACCCCCACAGACTTGCAGGGAGACTGGGAGAGGGTTGTGCTGGAGGAGAGTACTCTCCAAGGCGAGTGAAGCCATGGTGGACCTTACTTGCACGCAACTCACCTGGACAGCTGCACTGTCCCTTCTCCTTCACTGTCCCCCAGCATCTCCTTCAAGGCCTCAGCATTGGCTGAGGGGAGAAGGAAAAGATGGAGTTAGTGGAGGTCAGGGCAAGAGAAGGAGGGGTGGGCAAGGAGCCAGCCTATACCCACCTTCATTTTGGATGATGCAGCGAACAATCCTCTCTACTGTGTCCTCATTCATGTCATCCTCCTCAGCTGAAGGATGAAAGAGGTTGGCAAGGAAGGGGGAAATGAATCACTTAGTGGGGTGGGGGTGGGGGGCATTACCTGGTGGCTCCTGTGGCTTACTGCTCAAGATATACCCCTTTATCTATTTGCTATCATGCTGGACTTTAGCATTTTAGTGGCCAGGGCAGGGAAGATGGGGAAGTCAATGGGAGCCAGAGTCCTTCCTGCCCATGTTGCCTCCTCTAGTCGTGCCTTCAGGGTGGTTTCACCCCACTTGCTGACTCAAGGAAGCATCACTAGGCCTCCTGCAGGCTTGACTGGGATCGGACCTAGGTCTGTTGGCCAGGGAGCAGAAAAAGGTGTGGGGAGAGGGGTAAGAGAGAAAGGTGACTGAGCCAAGGTTCCAGGCTCCTGACTCACGGGGCTGGAGCTGGGCGTCGTCAGGCTCCGAGCCCCTCGATGTGCGGCAGCGGTAGCCCTTCTTCTTGAGCACGTGGCAAATCATGAAGCCTACGAGGCCCATGAGGAAGAAGACCAGCACAAGCAGGAAGAGCATGTATAGCTCATGCTGGGGCGGCTCCAGGTCAGGCTGTGGTTCCGACATGAGGCCCTGGGGGGCGAGCACGTGCCAGGGCGCCTCCTGGGGGGAGGGGGCTGCAGCTGGGGATGAGGGGGAGGGGTAGGAATGCCATCCTCAGGATCTCAAACTGGCAAGCCTCAGAGGTCCGGCCCCACCTACTACCCAACCAGGGAGCTGTCCGGGCCAGGGGTGCTGGTCCGCCGAGAGCGGCCGGGGCGCGGAGCCAGACCGCAGTTGCGCAAGTCTTCCAAGACCCTGGTCTCGCTTCCCCGACGCCCGGAGCTTTCCCCTTTCCAGCTCGTCCCAGCTCTTCCGACCCTCCCAAGGACACTGCAGCACAAGATGGGACGGAATTCTCCGGCGGCGGGCGCAGGAGTCGCGTCTGAGTCAGCGTCCGCACCTCCTCCGCACCGGCCTGGGCGAGGCCTCTGCAGCCCCCTCCCCTGCATTCCATCCCGCACCCTCCCTTTTCCGACTCCTTCCACCCTGACCACCTGGCCCACCCAGTACCGGTGGTTCGGTTCTGGCTCCTGCTCGGGTTTCGGCTCCAGGGGCGTCCTAGTCCGGCTCAGGGCCCCCGACGGCCTCCCGGCGCTCATCCCTTGCTTCCTCCCCCTCCCCCTTCGCCGCCTCACCGGCTCCGGGCTGCGGCTGCGGCTACCGGTGCCGCGGCAGGCGGGGGAGGGAAGGATGGAGAGGGATGAGGGCTGGCTGGGAGCGGCAGGAGGCTCCAGACAACTCCGGCCCTGAGAAGGAAAGGTGGTGGGATGCACCGCCGCAGCCGCCCCTGGGTTGCCAAATGCCTTCGTCCGCCGCCGGCCCGGGACCAGGGGGCGGAGCGCAGGTGTGCGGAGCGGAGAGCGTGAGCTGTGCGCGCGTGACTGCGCTGGCCCCACTCCGGGGGAAGTGCGGCGCTGTCTGGGTCCGGGTGAGGCGGACGGGCAGTCTGGCCCGGCCGGGATGCTCCCCACTGGTCTATCCCGCACACCTGGAGAGGCTCTTGCCCACAGATGCCCTAGCCTGGCGGATAGCCAGGGATCTCTCCAGCGGGCAGCTAGAAACCCGTTTTCTGCACCCGAGCGTGGCGGCGTGGCCGGTTCTCCGGGGCGTCCTAGCGAGACGGGCGCGGAGACCACGGCCGCACTCCCTTTTAGGGCAAGAGGCTGCACGGATGGCTCAGTTTCCCAAGGATTTGGCCTCCGCCCAGAAGGAGATGACCCTTCCGCGCTAGAAGCGACAACAGTCGTCCCGCACTCTAGCCGGGACGCTGACACCCAACAGCCCAGAAGGGGGGCCGAGCCAGAGAAGGGACAGAATCCCGCAGGGGCCGTGACCGGGGCGTGGTCTCGCAGAGGCGGGGCCTGGGCCTCCCGGTTCCGCAGGGGCGGGCTGCGTGCTTACGCAGCACGCACGACCGGGGGTGGGGCTGGCGACTGGGCAGGCGGCGGAGGCGCGGGGCCTGGTCCCGTCGTCAGTATGGCCAAGACCGTCGCCTATTTCTACGACCCGGATGTAGGCAACTTCCACTATGGTAAGGGATCACGATTGTGCGCGAGGGGTTTCGGGACGCAGAGGTTTCGAGGCAAGGGCTGCAACCCCAGAGGTGGAAACTGACGAACTTTCTTCTCCCCACCCCCAGGGGCTGGACACCCTATGAAGCCCCATCGCCTGGCATTGACCCATAGCCTGGTTTTGCACTACGGTCTCTATAAGAAGATGATCGTGAGTCCCACTGCCTCTGCCGAGTGTTAGGGGTGGGGCCAGCTGTGGCCTGAGGGCTAGGTGGGCTGGGCTGAATGCATCAGGTGCAATCTGCATACGAAAAAAGGTGGAGGGGGGGTGTCTGGATGGAAGACAGCCGGAGCAACCTCCCTCCATCTCCAGAGTGTTGAGGATGGTGTTCTCTGACTTAATTGGAGTTACTTTTTCACTTCAGGTCAGCCACGCTTTGACTTCAGGTGGACCAGTCCTTGGCCTAGGGGTATGGTGGGGTAGGGCTGGTTTTAAGACCTGCTGTCTTCATCCCTAGCGTCTTAGTGTGTGGGTAGTGCTGTGGCCTCAAGGATGGGGGAGGGGCTGGACCACTGTACTTGAGTGTGGGGTTTACCCTCATTTCCCGCCCCTTCTCCTCATCTCGTCTTTCTACCTCGAAGATGCTAGAGCTCTAGAGGGAGGACCCAGCAGCCCTGGTGTAAATGTATATGTGTGTATGGAGGGGGACAGGAGATATCCTGGGCATCTCCTTTCCAACCTAGAACACCACTACTCAAACCTTCATCTCCCAGACATAACGCGTGATTTGGGATTATAATAGTTAGGCCTAAGTATTGTAAGGGGAATTGTGTATTGTGAGGGGAATTGGTCAACAATATGAATGAGTGTCCACTGCTTGTGCTGAGGCACAGACAAGTGGATCGGTCATGAAAAAGACTGAAGTGATGTTAATGCATTATATATACCTGTGTGCATTTTTTAGAGAGGGAAAAACTGCGTTGTTCTTGCCCAATTTCCAAAGGGGCATATGAACTACCCAAAAGATACTAAATCTCTGGTTTAGCCCTTTTGAGTTTTAATTAGAAGGTTGTCATATACCTCATATTATTTGACTCTAGAATGAAGAAAAATCCAGGGAAGAGATGAGTGTGGAGAAAACCAGGAGTAAGAGACTCAGGGAATATGGCAAGGTGATCTGGGCTCAAAGTTGAGAAGGCAGAAGAGGCTGGGCTGGAGGTGGGAACGAGGAAGCAAGCCCAGTGGTCTTCAGGAGGTTTGATCCTAATAATCCATTTGGCTAATCAGAGCCTCTCTTCTTCAGGCCCAGACCGACCTTTGCCTCATAGAGTAACAAGGATTGGCATGGTGTGGCGACTGCTGAGTGTGGTCTTGAACAGTGGCCAGGGTTGGGTTCACTGTGAGCAGTCTCAGCCCCATGAGTGGGGCTGACCCTGCCGGGGTTCATCTTGTGTCTCCATCCCGAGGTCTTCAAGCCATACCAGGCCTCCCAGCATGACATGTGCCGCTTCCACTCTGAGGACTACATCGACTTCCTGCAGAGAGTCAGCCCCACCAATATGCAAGGCTTCACCAAGAGCCTTAATGCCTTCAATGTGGGTGATGACTGGTGAGAGGACTGGGACTTGTGATGCTAGGCACTTCAAAGGAGGGGAATACTTGAGTGAGGTCTTGTGGCAACAGCAATGGAAAGCTAAGAAGTGGGCTTACTTATCAGTGAATCATCGTTTTCTCATTTGTTTATTCAGCAAATGTTTACTGATCATTTGCTGTAGGCCAGATCTGGTGCTAAGTGCCAGGGATACAAAGATGAGCAAAAACAAAAGTAAAAAAAGCTAGGGGGTGGGGATAGGCAATCATGGAGCTTGCAGTCTAGTGAGGAGAGCAATCATCTAATCTACAAGTAAATTTAGTATTGTGGTTGTGCCACAAGGAAGGAAGAGGTACATGACAGACTATGAGAGTGTATAGTTGGGAGAATAATCTAGTTTAGTGGGGGGGGGGGGCTGGTCAGGAACACTTCCTAGAGGAAGTAACAATGATTGAACTGAAATCTGAAGAAAGAGCAGGAGGTGATTAGGTGAAAGGGAGTTGGGTAGATAGAGGGGGAGGGGAGCATATAGTGAGCAGTGAGGACTACATGTGTTAATGGTCTGTGGTAGGATAGAGTATGACTCATCTGAGGAACAGAAAAAAGGTTGAGTGCTGAATGTGAAGAGGAGAGTGATCTGAATCAGGTTAAAGAGATAGGTATGGCCTGACGGTGTAGAGAGGAAACCATGGTGGCGTAGTGGTTAAGAGCTACGGCTGCTAACCAAAAGGTCGACAGTTCAAGTCTACCAGGTGCTCCTTGGAAACTCTATGGGGCAGTTCTACTCTGTCCTGTGGGGTTGCTATGAGTTGGAATTGACTCGACGGCAACAGGTTTGGTTTTGGGGTTATGTAGAGAGGAGCACTGGGCAGTGGTTAAGCACTCAGCTGTCGGTGGTTCGAACCCACCAGCCATCCTGAGGGAGGAAGATGTGGTAGTCTGCTTCTGTAAAGATTACAGCCTTGGAAACCCTATGGGCCAGTTCCACTCTGTTCTATTGGGTCACTCTGAGTCAGAGTCATCTCAACAGCAGGGTTTTTTTATATATATATATATATATATTATATATTTATATTTATATATATTATATATATATATATTATGTAGAGGGAAGCAACCAAAGTGTTTTTAAAAGTAAGGGGGGTGATTTGACATGATCAGGTTTACAGTGAACTTATACATAAGTAGAAGACTCAAGGCTAGGTGCTATGGGAGAGGAATGGAGTGGACATGATCCTTGCTTGCATTCTAGTATACATCCATGAAAAGACAGTAACCATAACAGCTATCACTTACTTTTTTTTTTGTATTTTTAAATTTAGGGAAAATTTCAAACATTTTTAAAAGAATAGTGCACTTATCTTCAACAATTATGAACACATGGACAATCTTGTTTCATCTATACCTTCTCAGGTTAGATTATTTTTAAGCAAATTCTAGGTGTCACATCCTTTCATCCGTAAATATTTTATTATGTATCTTCAAATGATTTTTTTTTAAGGTTATAACCACAGTATCGTCATCACACCTAAAAAATGAATAGTAATTCCTTAACATCACACATGCAGTCAGTCTTCAAATTTCTCCAATTGTCTCATAATTTTTTCCCCCAGTAGGTTTGTTTAAATCAGGACCTAAACAAAGTTCTCCCATTGGACTTGGTTGACATATCTCTTAAGATTTTTAATCTGTAGCTTTCCCCCTCTCCTCCTTGAATTTATGTCTTGAAGAAACCAGGTTGTTGGTCCTGTAGAGTTTCCTCCAACAACTCCCATTTATTGAGTACTTACTCTGCTGGGTACTGTGCTGAGGGGTGCTGGTACAGCCACTTAATTCTCATGCCAGCCCTGTGATGTAATAATCCTTTTCCCAGTGTTATGCATGAGTAAACTGAGGTTTGGGGAGATTTAGGTAACTTACCCTGAGTCACATAACTGGTCAGTGGAGATGGCAGGATGCAGATCCAGAGCCCATGTTTTTAAACTACTACACTAATCTGTTTCCCTGAAAGATCCTAACCAACAGAAGCAATCTGGGCTGGAGGATAGAGGCCAACTCTTTAGGCTGGCATTGAGCACGTTCCCAACCTTATCCCCATCCTGCTGCCTAGGATGCCTTCCTGGAATGCCCTTTGTTCTCCATTCAGCTTTGCCATGGCCTTCCCAGCCTTCATACCACCTCCATGACGCCTTTCCTGACCACACCAGCCCACAGAGCTCTGTCCTTCTGCATATACTGTGCTGCTCATGTGGTGTTCAGTCACATGCTGTCTAGGGAGGTTTCTTGTTTTTGTTGCTATATCTGAGTTCACTTTATAGGTCTGGGATTGCATTCAGCCCTTGGGCCACAGGTGGGGCCCTGTAGATGCTCTTTGTGCAGTTAGGAAGTGCTACCATTTGATGACTTGCACTGCGTTTGGCAGACTCTCAGACTTAAGCTACAGTTGTGTTTATCTGGTCTTCAGATGAGAATCGGAGGTTTTCCTTCCTTTTAATTTGTTTTGATTGTCTTCAAAGTAATCTAATATACAAGCCAAATTGTACCACAAGGCTTTTAATGGAAAAAAAAAAAGCAGTCTGAGACCCATCCCTTCTACCCATAAATCCCTCTCTCCAGTGGCAGCTACTTTCAGCTCCTGTAGCTATTTCTTCTGGTATTAATCTTTGGATTTCAAAATAATAATACAAACCTGCTATTACCAATGCTAACCTATAATACGTAAGTAATGCCTACTTTGCACCAGGTACTATTCGAAATGCTTTACAGCTGTTGTTGCTAGGTTGTTGTTAGACTAGAACTGTCTCATAGGGTTTTCTAGGCTGTAGTCTTTACAGGAGCAGATTGTCAGGTCTTTCTTCGTGGAGCTGCTAGGTGGGTTCAAACAGCCAACCTTTCGGTTAGCAGCTGAGTGCTTAACTGTTGTGCCACCAGGGCTCCTTATACGTTATATACCTTCTTATTCTCTAAATGTATATTTGATACCCCTTAAGTCTTTATTATGTCGCTGGGCTTGGTACATGCTTTGTCTTCAAATATTTGTTGTATAAATTTGCAAATAGCTTAGGAGTATAGGAAGGGGAAGACAGAGTTATTGAAGAATGGAGATTGGAGGGGATTGGGGTGAGGAAAAAGGTTTAGGAAGGTGCCAGACAGAGGCAGGAGGGTTCCAACTGGCTCCTCTCCCCTGCAGCCCAGTGTTTCCCGGGCTCTTTGAGTTCTGCTCCCGTTACACAGGCGCATCTCTGCAAGGAGCAACCCAACTGAACAACAAGGTGGCTATAACCCTGAGTCCTGTTCCCCCTTTCCCCTGGGTCCCTGAACTCAGGGCTTTAGCTCTGACCCTGGACTCCCAGCTTTAAGGTGGGCTGAGGGGGACTGTGAGTTGGGTATTTGCTTTTCAGATCTGTGATATTGCCATTAACTGGGCTGGTGGTCTGCACCATGCCAAGAAGTTTGAGGTGAGTGAGGAGGTAATGGGGGAGACAATGGCCACCCTAGGGTATGTAGTCAGGATGGCAGAGGGGGACATCTGGGTGGAGGAATTGTTCCTCTCTTTATAAAACCACTGTTTTGCCATAGGCCTCAGGCTTCTGCTATGTCAATGACATTGTAATCGGCATCCTGGAACTGCTCAAGTAAGTAACCCAGGAAGAGATGGAGGGCTTATGAGACTCTTGGCTGAAGCAGTTCCTCAGACTCTGCTCTGACCTCACTAGCTTCTCCTGAGTTCTTGATGCTCTGCTCAGCTGCCTCTTCCTCTGCTCTGCTGCAGATTCCTGGCCGCCTACTCACATTTCAGCCTTCTCTGCACATCCCTCTCCTGTCCCTGCCTCCAGGCTGGAGCCCCAGGGTTGCCCTTAGGGAACTGGTGGGATTAAGTTTCAGGTGATTTAGGTAGAAGCAGACTGTTTATAATTCCAGAGCCCATGTTTGGGATGAGTGTGTTGGTTGGTTTTTCTCCCTGGGGCTCCCCTCTGCCTCAGACTCTGGCTTTGCCCTCACCCCAGGTACCACCCTCGGGTGCTCTACATCGATATTGACATCCACCATGGTGATGGGGTTCAGGAAGCCTTCTACCTCACTGACCGGGTCATGACAGTGTCCTTTCATAAATACGGAAATTACTTCTTCCCTGGTACAGGTATGGGAATAGGGATTACTCTCCCCTTTGCAACCTTAAGCTTTTTACCATGACTGCCTCCTTCTCAGCCTTCAGGTCTCAGCTTAGATGTCACCTCCTCAGAGAAGCCTTCCTTGACCACCCCAGTTAAAGTAATCACTTCCTTCCCCATTGCTCTGTCACATCACTGTTTCTTTCAAAGCACTCACTACTATTTGTATTTATTGTGGTGGTGGTTTGTTTACAGTCTCCCTCCTCATTGTCCCCACCACCAAGAACATAAGCTTGCTGGAATTTCATTAGTCTCATTAGTTCTGTTTACCAGTGCCATAGTAGGTCCTCAAAAAAATGTTTGTTGAGTGAATGTAAGCTGCAAGAGACTTAGTGGCTCTAGGGAGTCTGTGGAAGCATGTAGATGTAGTGAGAGGCCTTCAGAGTATGGGTTGGAGTTGAAGCAGCTGGGTTGTGGGTGCCCCCTATGCATAGCTTCCAGTATCTCTTCCCCCTTACTTCCCTGTAGGTGACATGTATGAAGTTGGGGCAGAGAGTGGTCGCTACTACTGTCTCAATGTGCCCCTGCGGGATGGCATCGATGACCAGAGTAAGTGCTGCAGATTTTTCCCTGCTCACTGCCCCTTCTTTCTCTCCTTGAATTAACCTCTGCTTGGAATTGTCTACTGTTGGGCCAGGTGTCCTTAAGGACGAATGGCCTTCTGAGGGACCATGAACCCCCTGGAAATTGTATGCAGCATATTGTGTGTATGTGCATTTTTCTGGGGTAAGGGTCACTGGCTTTCATCAGTCACTCAGAGGGGTTTGGGACCCCCACCAGAAGTTCAGAACCAGTGGTTTCCTGGGCTACATGCTCTCTCAACCCCCATTTTCCTTTTGTTCCCTGTCTCCCCATCCCCTTGGGGTGCCAGGTGCCCATCTTTGGCCCTCTCCCAGGTTACAAGCATCTTTTCCAGCCAGTTATCAACCAAGTAGTGGACTTCTACCAACCCACATGCATTGTGCTCCAGGTAATGCTGTCATTTCCCCCTTGGAAGAGCTCTGTCTGGGCTTGCGGTGGGGAGTGGGAAGAGGAGATGCTCTGGATTTGTGGGGAAGGGACGTGAAGAACATCTGTGGTGCTCTGATCAGTTACCTCACTGCAGCTGTCTGGGGTTTCGCTTTTTGTAGTGTGGAGCTGATTCTCTGGGCTGTGATCGATTGGGCTGCTTTAACCTTAGCATCCGAGGACATGGGTGAGACTTACCCTCCTTCCATTCCCGCAGGTTTTCAAGTGGCCTGGAATCCAATACATGGTGTGGTAGTGGTTGGGGAGTGGGCCTCACCTCTTCTTGGGAATGAAAAATAGCTACAAATTGTTCTCAAACCAGAAATGTCACCTGGAACAGAGGTCCCTAGCTGGTCATTCATTCTAAATAGGATTTTGTGACACACCTATCGTGTTTAAAAGATGGAGATACAGTGGGGAATCAAGCAGACAAGTTCTCTCCTCCCATGGAGTTTATAGTTTAGGAAACAGACAAAAAATAAGTAAGCAAACAAAATAATTAGAGTGTTATAAAGCCTATGAAGCAAAATTAAAAAAAAAAGAAGAAAGTTAAGACACAGGATAACAGTGGGAACCTACTTTAGATAACCTGATTGAAAGGATTTCCTGAGGAGGTGAAATTTGAGCTGAGGCCTGAGTGCTAAGAAGTAGCCAGCTAAGAGGAACAGAGGGAAATCTGTCCCAGGCAGGGAAGAGCTGGTGTAGTGGAGGAGATGAAGTAAAACCAGCAAGGCAGGAACACAGCTAGCTGGAGGTGGCTTGAGGGGAGGTCTAAGGAGTCAGCTGTGGTGAGATTGCGTAGGGTCTCTAGGCCCCGGTAAGGAGTTTGAATCATACTCCAGATATGATGGGACACTACTGATGGATTTTAAGCTGGGAGGTGACATGATCCAAATTGTGTTTTAAAGTGACTGCTCTGGCTTCTGAACGGACAAAGGCTTGGCGGGGAGGGGAACAGGCGTGGAAGTGGGGAGACCAGTTAGGAAACTATTGGTGTTGTCTAGGCTGGAGATGTGGTGCCTATGCTAAGGTGAGGTTGTGGGGATGGAGAGAAGTAGATGGTTTGAGTTATATTTTGGAAGCTATAACTGGCAGGACTTAGTGGTGCATTAATGAGGATAGTTGATTAACAGGTGGGGTGCCACAGAGGGTGTTGAGCTGGACAGAGGTGCACTTATTTTAAACTTTTTATTGAGATACAACAGATATACAATGAAGTACACAAATCTTAAGGGTATAATTCGTTGAATTTCAGCACCCAGATTGAGATACAGAACATTTATCACTCCCCAGAAGGCTCCCATGTCCCCCTTTCCAGGCAATACCTAGGATGTGTACTTTGGCTTTTGATAACATCCTCTACCCATTCCTCTGGTTCTTTTAACAGGGAATGCGTCGAATACGTCAAGAGCTTCAATATCCCTCTGCTGGTGCTAGGTGGTGGCGGCTATACTGTCCGAAATGTTGCACGCTGCTGGTGAGCACCCTGACTGAGTTTTCTCCTTCCCTCTTGACCAGTGTCCAGTGTTTGAGTGAAGGGCTTCCTGAGAGCTGGCCTGCTGGTTCTTCAGCACAGTTGCTCAGCCTGCTCCCCCTCCCCGCCTCTGCCCGGTTGCTTTCAGGACTTATGAGACGTCACTGCTGGTAGAAGAAGCCATTAGCGAGGAGCTTCCCTATAGTGGTAAGGATCACCCCAGGATACCTCCACAACAGTAAGTCCATTTTCATAAGACCCCAGGCAAATGGGAAATTTGACTCTCTCAGAGCTCTGCAGACTAAACCCCTAGGCTCAGAGCAGGGAAAAGATGGGGATCTGGATGGAAAAGAAGGAGATTGGGGATTCCTGGGCCCTGCCTAGACCTTTATTCTCTCATTCTGAGCCATACTCTCTCTTCCTAACCTCCCCACCTCAAGAATACTTCGAGTACTTTGCCCCGGACTTCACGCTCCATCCAGATGTCAGCACCCGCATTGAGAATCAGAACTCACGCCAGGTCAGCAGCTTGGAGAAGCTGAGCGCAACAGTGGGGGAGGCTAGGAGGGGTTCAGGATGTGGAAGTAGGAGAAAACAGAGAAGAGATGGAAGTTCTAAACCATCACTATTATCACTGTTACCAGCTAGGAGGCAGCCGAGATTAAAGTAGAAGCAGTCGGGGCTGGGAGGAGGGACATTTGTCAGCTAGGGGACCTGAACTAGAGATACCCACTGGGATTAAAACTAGAACAGTAGGGGTGACAAATGCTTAGAAGGGTGGATGCTCTGAGAATCCCTGTGGACTGCTTAATGCCCTATTTCTTATCCCTAACCAGTATCTAGACCAGATCCGCCAGACAATCTTTGAGAACCTGAAGATGCTGAACCACGCACCTAGTGTCCAGATTCATGATGTGCCCTCAGACCTCCTGACCTATGACAGGACTGATGAGGCTGATGCAGAGGAGAGAGGTCCTGAGGAGAACTACAGCAGGTCTGGGGCCAGGACCTGAGGGCAGAGGGTTCCAGCAGGCTCGTGGGGGAGGATTTAGGGGGAAAAAGTAGATCAGCTTTATTTAATTGTTCCTGGCTCTCCTCCTTTAGTATGCCTACTGCTTGGTCTGCTATAACTCCCCCACTCTTTTTCTTCCCCGTTTTTAATTATTACAAAAGTAATGCATATTCATTGTAAAAATTTCAAACAGCACCGAAATAGATTAAGTTTGCTTTCACACAATCCTAAACTCAGTCCACAGAAATAACCACTGTTAATAGTTTGATTTGTATTTTTTCAGATAGACTTTTTTATATAGGTTACAAGTATACTATTGTAGCTGTACATATAAACACACATATATACTCTCAGAGATTGTTTGTGCATTTTCGTTTTTGTTTTAGATACAAGTAGGATCATTCTATGCATGTTGCTGTATAACTTTAAGTTGGCTTTTTTTTTTTAAACAAAGCAGCGTATTTCTCCATGTCAATATATATAGATCTGCTGCATTATTTTATCAGCCATATAATATTCCATTGTATGGACATAGTGTTATATAACCAGTTACCATTGATGGACATTTTGATTATTTTCCATTTTTTTCACTATTATAAAGAAAGTAGTAAAGAACCCCCTTATACAAATATCCTTGCGTGCTTGTTTGAGTACTTCAGTGGGTTGGATTCCTAGAATTGTTGCTACTAGGTCAAAGGCTGTGCTTGCTAAATATGTTTATTTTTGTTACCCAATTACCTTCCAAAGTCTATAGCATTTTACTCGTTCTTTCCAGGTCAGTGCCTGCATGCTGTTCTCTAATGCCCTGGTCCACTCCTTCTCAGACTTCAGGACCTACCCTCTTAGAAAAACCTTCCTTAATTATCCTGGCTCAAATTTCATCCTTTTCCTTCCATCACTCTCAGTCATGTCACTTTATTTCATTTTATTCATGGTATTTTCCACCATCTGAAATTATCGTATTTATTTATTTCTTTTGTTAGTTATTGTCACTTTCATTTATTAGGTAAGCTTTTTGAGAGTAGGCAGAAACCTTGTCTGGCCTATTTTCTACTGTATTGCTAAGGCCTATGACAGTGTCTGGCTCAGAGTAGCTTCCTCAGTAAATGATTATTGAGCACATGAATGGATCAATGGATAGCAGTGAGTCTCTACCAGTAGGAGGAGAGTAGTGGTTCCCTGACAGAGGGGGCCTGAGAATGGCTCCAGAGAGAGTGCTTCTGTGGGAGAAGATTGGAACTTGGAGAGTGGGACGCTGACTTCTCTCCCTTTGCTTTGCAGGCCAGAGGCACCCAATGAGTTCTATGATGGAGACCATGACAACGACAAGGAAAGCGACGTGGAAATTTAAGGGCGGCTGGGAATGCTCTGTGCCAAGGAATTCCTTTTCACCTCTTGGTTGGGCGAAGGGAGAAGGTGTGGCTCCGCAGTCCTGGACTGGTCACCCGCAGGGTTTGTTACCAACTCTGGGGAAGGGTTTGGAGACCACATCTGGTTATAGACCAATTATCCTTCCCCTTTCCTTTCCCTCCCAAGGCCTGACAGCGATACCTGTTAGGGAGGGGACAGAGGCAAGGACAACTGCCCTGGGTCATTTTGGGCAGTGAGCCCTAGAGGCCAGTCCTTAGCCCCTCTGGCCCCCTTACTCCTTCCCTGCTTCCCTCCAACCACAGATCTTTAAGACTGAAGGGGTAGGCAGGACTGAGGTTGCCTCTGCTTCCTCCTCTCCTGGGTTCTGCTGCAGGCCTTGCTTCCAGGGCAGGTGAAGAGAGAGCTTTTCAGAGGGCTCTGGCTTCGTAACAACAGAGGGAAGTGCGGTTTTGAGTAGGGGGAGGATATGGAAATGTCATGTTCTAATTTTTTTGGCTTTATGTCCATTTTACTACTGTTCTTATCCAATAAATCAAGTTGGTATTTTTTGTACCTTTTGCTTTTCTGGGAATACTCTTTATTCTTGCTAGCTGTCCATGTATGAAGGGAAGGGGAAATGGGAGTGATGATGCATATAATTAAAACCATAGTTAGCATTCATTCAGCACTTATTCAGTGTTAGGCCCTGTGCATGTGTTCTACATGTGTGACATGGATTATTTTACTCATATATAGGGAGTTAGTAATAGAGCGTTCTGTTAAGAGTTAGATAAACCTGCACAGATCACTAGTTTAAGAGGAGTAGAAGATGACTCCAGGGTTTTGAACCTGGGTGTTTGGAATAACAATGCTAGTTGGTGAAGATACATTGACATGAAACATGTCAAGTGCATAGCACAGTGCCTGACAAGTAGTTACTTATTATCTTAACTGTCTATGTAAAAAGCAATCCTAGATACTGTAGTAGCCACTGGGAGAGTTTACAATGCAGTAAGGGAGAGTTAGAGATTCATATGAAGTTGATAAATGTTATAGCAGATATAGACAGTGATAGAATAAAGAAGAATAGATGGGTCACTCTTTCCGTCCTTTGATCCTGTCTGTTTCACAACACCCTAGCTTAGAAAATAAGTAGCTTTTGAACTTTGTTTTGGACAAGTTGAGTTTGAAGTGTGGGCTGTACAGGTCGATGCAGCTTTCCATCAGGCAATTAGAAGGTCTGGAACATGAGAGATGAAGGCCAGATTTAGAAGCCATCCAGTTTGGCATAGTCCCTGCTATATACCAGGCTAAGCACTCGGGGTACCACTGACTCTACCCTCCAGGAATGTACACTTGAAATCTTTTGCCAGGTGTGGTCAAGATAATTCAGTCCATACTGTGAGGGCCTACTGGGTGCCAGTTACTTTTCATACAAGGGACAGAGGTAGCTGGGAGAGTAGATGAAATTGCTGAAAAAGAAAGTCACACCGGAAGAACAAAGAACACACTCATGGAGAACACTTGTCTTCACTCATGTTTGGTTTATGTCAGTGGGGAGTCCTGGTTAAACAGTTTGGCGGTCAGACTAACCTGGTTTTAAATTTTTTATTACTTAATTACCTGTGCTTAGGCAAGTCGCTTTGCTTCGGTAAAGATTTACAGCCTTGGAAACCCTGTGGGGCAGTTCTACTCTGTCCTTTAGGGTCGCTATGAGTCGAAATCAACTCAGTGGCAATGGATTTGGTTTGGTTTTAGCCAAGTCTCTTTCCTATCTGTAAACTGGAGAGTCTAGTAGAACTTATCACATGTGATTGTTAGGATTTCTTTGAGTGTTTTGCACAGTGCCTGGCATAAAGCAAGTGTACAGTAAATGGTAACTGTAATTGTGTAGGCCAATGTTTGCAATAACTAGTTTACTCAGATTAGAAACAGAACTAGAAAGTATTGAACTTGGGATTCAGAATGAGGTACCCTAACTCCAGAGCTAGTCTGGTTCAGAGTCTGGCCCTTCTGGACCAAGCCCTATTCTTGGCACATAATTCAATAAATGGTAGCTGTCTTTTTTTTTTTTTTTAAATGTGCTCCATGGGTATTGCGCATATAAAAACTGTATTATCCCAGGAAGTCTAGCACTAAATCTTCTGCCACAGTAAACAGTCACAATGCTGCATTTTTGGTTCAGATATTAATATCCTGGTCTGAGGTATAAGCAGGTCCAGGCTTGACAGCCACGTGGGCGCTGCGTGGGACCTGGGAGACCTGCGCAGCGCCGCTCCATCCGCCAGGGGGCGCGGCTACGGTACCGCCTAGGATTGCTGCACCGCCCACTCGCCACCCCCCCACGTGGGTCCGAATGGTTAGGCCCGCCGGGCAGGTAGCTCCCCTCCACCCCCCTCCCTTCTCCCATTGGTAGGGACTGCGGGTCCGGGCGGAAGTGGGGCAGGCGGGCGGGAGCGAGGCGTCGTCGTTGTATATTCATGAGGCGCGCGCAGCCCGGCATGCTAATGAGGCGGGGCGCGGCGGCGGGCTAAGGAGCTGTTGGGTGGCGGCGGCGGCGGCGGCGGTGGCGGGCGCGGAGCGGCCGGGCGGAAGCGGCGTAGGCGCGGGGGTCACCAGACAGCACGAACCGGGACATGGAGCCCCCCGGCGGGGGCCTAGGGCCCGGCCGCGGGACCCGGGACAAGAAGAAGGGCCGGAGCCCGGACGAGGTGCCTGCGGCGGGCGGCGACGGCGGCAAATCCAAGAAATTTGTGAGTGTCCCTCCCACCCCGCTCCCTCTACCGGACAGCGTAGCGGTCCTCAAGACCCGGGATCCCTGCAACAGACCCCAGGAGCGCCCTCCTGTCTCTCAGGAGCCGCCCCCGCGGCTTCCTTCTTCGTTTTGCTTGGTCCTCAGCTTCACAGCCCTACATCCTCCCCGTCCAGGACCTCGGGAAGCCCCGAAGTCCCACCCGGCTCTTGCCCCGGCAGCCTCGGGGCTTCTTCACTCCCCAGCCCGCACGTTCTGCCCTCCCACCCGGTAGCCCGGGCCGGCTCTCAGCCTCACCTCTGGTCTCCTAGTCTCACTTCCTTTTTTCTTCCTCTATTACCCGAACACGCCTTCTCTATCTTGACCCCGTGTGCTTTTCTGGGTTTATTTTTTCTTATTACCCTTCCCCCCTTTTTGGTATTCTCTTATTTCCTTTTCCAAAAGGTCAGTTCCTTCCTGATGATTGATCCCTTTCACCTGCTAACTTTCCTCCCGCCCAGTCCCCCATCTGGGCCCACAGCCCGGTGCCACCTGATAATCCTTCCCCTCAGGAATGTTACCTGACTTGGGCCCTATCTTCCCTCCTCCTTTGGACGTTTGTCCTTGCGATTACAGGTCCTCCGGTGGTTCGATCATGACGTTCATTTGCTTCCCAATATTTCTCTATCCAAAGAACCTGTCCCTTTGCCCTGTTGCTTATTACTTTTCAGAGGGTTAGAACTTCTCTGGCAATTATGCCCGTCTTGATTTAGGATGATGATAAACCTCTCCCATGGGGGAGGAAGTTAGACTGCAAGTCCAAGAAGTTTGTGAGTAATTGAATTGCTTTCTATACATTTCCCATGATAACCATCTCCTCAACTCCTCTTCTCCCACCTCCTGTGCTCCAGGGCTGCTCACATCTCTTTTCCTATCTGTAGAAGAGTATAACTTTCCTTAGGTGCCAGTTACTTCCAATCCTAGTCTGAAGGAATATTAATGATATTCATGTAATCTTACAATATTTCAACCTTTTACCCATATTAAATCTTTCTTACTCCTCTCTCCAGGGAGTCATTTGTCTGCTTTTTATAAAAGCTTTGAAAGATACCAGGCATTGTCCAAGACAGGGAAAGAGTCTTGGATCTTAATCACTTGTTAGTTGTAACTGTAGTTGTTTAGTCTTCTCTCCCGGTAATCACGTCCCACTCCAGTATCTCTTTCTACTGACCAAAGGGCTTATCACTCTTTCCTTTTATCCCCGCCCTCCCAGCATTCTGACCCAACTCCACAAGTTTGGGAAGAAAACTGATAGTGATGGAAACTAGAAGAAAATCTTGTTTTGTGACCTAGAGGGTTGAGATGTGGCGAGTACTAAACAGAATTAAAATAGTGACTCACTTCTTCCTACCTATTTCTAGCAAGACCAGGTGCTCCTGGACTGGCCTTTGCACTGACTTACAGGCTATCAGTAACTGCCTGTTTTCATTTGATGAGCATATTTTTTTCCAGAAGTGGAGGGTTAATAAAAGTTACCTCCTTCTTTGGTGACTAAAGCAGCGTTTCCCTGTGTTTCTTTAGGGTAAGAATTGACCTGCTTGTTAGAAAGGTTCCCTTCTAAAACAGTTTGTATTCCTTCTGCTTCTGTGTCTTTTTGTTTTGATTTTGTTTCCATGGTATTGTTTGACGTTCCTAACCCGAATTCCAGCTATTCCTGCTGATTTATAGTGACCTCTGTGACTTGTAAATATTTTCAAGTCCTTAGTAAAACTTGATATGTGCTTTTGCTTTATTCAGCACTTGTGTTTCAGATTTGTGAAACTTACTAAATATATGGTGCTGTAGGGTGAGATACCTGTGGAAACTCCTTTTCACCTGTTTTTGGAATGTCAGTGGAATCTTGTATACGCTGAGTGGATTTGGCTGAGTGTTGTTGGTATTTGCTTTAGAGTGGGTGGAGCTGAACCCGGTTCTCTTTTTCTTTCTGAGGTGTTGGTTTTAACCCTTAACCTGCTGAATTTTTAAAAATAAGTTCAGGTAGTGGGGAGAGTTGCATTAGTAGCTAGAGGGTTGGAAGGTTTCAGGAAGTAGTGGTGCTTAACTCCTTTATTGCCAGGTATAACCTACCTCAAGGCAACAGAATATTCCGGCTTCCTCATTGCTTTTTATGAGAACTCTGTGGAAATGGAAGACTAGGAGGAGCATTGCAATCTACTTCTCTTTGTGTCTGTGTGTATGTATATGTGGGTGGGTGGAGTGGGCGAGAGTACTGGTGTGCTTTTGTCACCCATGGCTTAATTTTCTTGAACTACAGGCTAAAACTGAACTCAAAGCTGTTTCGCCTACTCCACCTTTTCTAGAGTGTGTCCTCTGGAAAAATCCGTTAGAGTGTACTTTATAAACCTACACTGGTTTGGACTAAGTGTGCCTGATGGTTATTTGTCTGCTTCTGAGGGGTTACTGATCCCTTTAGCTGCTACATACCTTTCTGAGCTTACGCAGGTTCTAAGTACAGATCAACTGATGAGAACACAGAGCTCACAAGATTGCTTAATATCTGCTGTTAGCCTCCAAGCCATCTTGTGGGGAAAGAAGATGGAATCTTAAGTTTAAAAAGTGGTTGGGTGTCATCTTTTAAAATATGTGATTGTTTGAGAGACACTGAAATGAGGGACTGAAGCCGGGCTGCTTGGTAATCTCCCTGGATTCTTCATGAGTCTGTTTTCCACTGGACCACGAGCATGTCCCTTCTCCAGCATCATTCCATTTCCTTTTGGAAGCTTAAAATGAAGGAAAATAAGAGGACTCTAAATGAACAGAATTTGGAGTGTTGCCTGACTTTTCTGCAGTGATAAACGTGGGTGTCAAATAGACTGATTTCTGAAATATGTGTCAGGGTTAAGTACAACCAGGATGTTAGGAAGCTGTAGAGTATTCCTGTATTGAGTAGACTGCATGCCTTCTCATACAATCTAGAAATTGATACATTGTAAGAGAGAATCTTGCTACCTGATTCAGCTAGGAGCATAATTTTGTAAAGCCTGAATTTTAGTGTGGGATTAGAGAGAATAGAAGATTATACTTTTTAAAATTTTGTTTGATTCTGGATGTCTATGCTGAATTATTACCACGTTGCAGTTTCCTGCCTCTCTAAAAGCAAAGTGATAGTGAGAGTATAGATGTTTAGTTGTAGACCTCCGTCCAAAATGAGAGCCATCAAAGATGAAGGATGCCAGGCAGAATTTTGAGCAGGTATTAGGAAAGGTAGTGTCTTAAGCTGAGTTCTCTAGAGAAGCAAAACCAGTGAAGTGCACACACATACACACACACACACAGAGAAAGAGAGAGAGATTTATCTCAAGGAAATAGCTCATGCGGTTGTAGAGCCTGGCAAGTCCCAAGTCCATGGGTCAGGCATCAGGCTGGAGGCTTCTCCTGACTCACATAGCTGCAGGGGCTGATGAACCCAAGATTAGCAGGTCATATGGTAGGCCGTTGACTCACAGGCTGCGAAGGCCGACGAATCCCAAGATCGGCTGGTAAGACGGCAGGCCGCTGGCTCAAGTCCCAAGAACTGGAAGTCAGATGATGACAGCATGGGTTTAGGATCCAGAGCAAGCAAGTGAGCTTTTTGCCAGAATGTCTGTTTTTATATTGGATGCAGGCCAAACCCCCAAGGAAACTCCCCTTACAACTGATTGGCTGATCACATCAGATAACATCATGGAGGAGGACTACATCATTACACAACTGCCAAATTACATCAATAACTGCCAAAATACATCATTACATAACTGCCGAACCACTGAGAATCATGGCCCAGCCAAGTTGAAACACAACCTTAACCATTACAGGTCGAGAATATGAAGGAAGTGGAGATGTTCAGGCAGAATTCTGCTTATCTTCTCTTAAACAAGACGTTAACTGTGATCCAAAAGGTCACAGAAAACCAACGTGTATACAGAGAGCTTTGTACAAGTCATGTGTTTTTTTGAAAGATGATAAAACACTGGGATTATTTAGTTTGAGAAGAGGGAGGAGAGCCTACAGGAGTGTTATTGAGATGTTTGAGATGACAGAATGATACCTTAAAAATTGGTGCACTCCTGCCTGCTTTGTCTTTAAAAACAGCCAAAGATAACGTTATATGTACTTGTCTCAAAGGAATTCCTTCCTCATAGGGGGTGAAGTGAGGGAGTGCCTTAGAGTTAAAATCATGCCTTGGGGGAGTTGGTAAATGTTAGAATACTTTTATAAGAAGAGCTGAAAATTTCATGACCTGAAAATTATATTTGTTATAAAAGCTAAGAAAATAGTAATAACTGAGAAATGACTTAACTTTGTTGATGGGTACATATGTTAGAATAGACTTATCTTCTATATGATAGAATAACCTTTAGTTATCCCCAGGACCGTTTTATAAATGGATCTCCAAGTTATTTTTGGAGAGCATTATATCTTTGGTGAGATGTAATAGTGGCTTAAAAAATAAGGTTATGCTACGTCTGATTTAGAAGAACAAGTTAAACTCATCTTTATTAATAAATACTAGGTACGTTAGAAAAACATGGGGTTTGTATATGCAGGTGTTGTTTTATTTCTCAGCTGAAATTATTCTTGGCTAGAAAAACCATTCCCATTTTGAAAGTGCTTTTTATCACTGAAGTATTTTTCTTTATTATTTGAGTCTCCTATTCTCAGTCACTTTTGTTTGAAAGCAATGGGGAAAAATTTACCTCTTTCCAACCAGCAAAGCATCATTTGGTGTTTGCTCCTAGTTAGGGTTAGGTGAGACAAAGTCAACTCTCTCTCCTTGTCCAACTGCCTAATATCCCCTTCCTCTTTGTTTTTATTCCCTCCCTGTTTTCTGTGGGGCTGATTAGAGCCCCATGAACAGCCAGGCCTGTGGTGAGTCAGGAGCAGTCATAGCTGTTGCCACTAAAATTACTTAAAACCCCCAAGCTAAAATTGAAAAGTTAAGCATATTTTAATCACTATGAACATATTTTACAATATTTTCTT